TCCCTCCCCCTTCCCCTCTTCCTCCTCCTCCTCTTTCTATTCCTCCTCCTCCTCCTCCTCCTCCTCCTCCACCCCCTCCGATGTCCCCCTCCGCCTCCTACCTCTCCTCTGCCCCGCGCAGGGCACGGCGACCAGCTCGTCTGGGCTTCGCACGAGCCCTGCGAGGCCGCGCTCCCCCCCCCTACCGCCGCGCATTCGCCCCCCACGCCCCCGCCCGCTGGCGGCAGGCCGCCCCCAGCTGCTCCTGTCCCGTGCCTCCTCCGCCCTGCTGCCGGCCCGCTCCTGCTACGCCCTGACGTCCTTTTCGTCGTCGTCGTCGTCGTCGTCGTCGTCGTCGTCGTCGTCACCGCCCTTGTCGCCGCCGCCGACGTCGCTGTCGTCGTCGTCGTCGTCGTCGTCGTCGTCGTCGTCGTCGTCGTCGTGGTCGTCGTCGTCGTCGTCGTCGTCGTCGTCGTCGTCGTCGTCGTCGTCGTCATCGTGGTCGTCGCGCTCTTGTTGGAGCCAGCTGGTGGTCTGAGGTGGCCCAGCACTGTTTTCGGCGAGCCTTTTTCGGCCTCCTGGGGCCGTTTTTGGGCCCCGGGGCTGTCAGAAACGGATCATGCCGACCGGTTTTGGGACCTTTTGGAGCATCTTCGGAGCCATTTTGAGGCATTTTAGGCTATCTTGAGCCATCGTGGAGCTCATCTTTGGCTCTCCGAGGCGCACTGGGAGCCGTCTTGGGCCATCTTGGGCGCTCCAACTACCAGCGAAACCTCCCGTCCAGGTCCAGGGGAGGGGGTAGGGGGAGGGGAAAGCCCAGGAATCACGCTCTCGTTTTGGCTTTCTCACGATTTGCTTGGGAATCGCGCTATCGCTCGAGACCTCCTCGCGAGCCCCGCGATTCATGCAGTACTCACGCTTCAGCAACCCGCCTGCTTGACCTGGCCGCCTGGGCCCGCCTCCCCGACCCGCCCGTTAGGTTCTGACTGCCCGATCAGCCCGTCTGTTTTTGCCACGTTCTTTGGGTTCCTAGCCCCCTCCTGCTAAGCTCTCTCGTGCTTCATCCTCCTCCCTCCCCCTTGTCCTTTCCTTCCATCCGTTTTCTTTTTCCCTGCCCTCAGGGCTGCACGAATTACACGTTGCAGGTAAGACAGATATAAGACGAAGAGGGCCGGTATCGAGGGTTCGGGATATACGTGTTGACAGGCACGCGAGCAGATAAGAGCGATCAGTCTTGACATTATTCTTGCTATTGCTGCTGCTGCTGTTATGGTTGTTGTTGTTGCGGCTGTTGAATTTTCATTTTCACAGAATCATTATTGTTGATCCCCCCTCCGGTGGCCAGTCTATTTTGTCAACACGGACGCTTCTCACGAGGCTCGCATCCTGTATTTTATCAGGGGAAAACTGGTGCCACCAAACTGTGCCACTGGCCCCCAGTTAACAACAGCAACAGCAACGACGGCTCCCGCATGATATTTCCTCACATTTTTTCCAAAGTCGCGCTCTCGCGCGGGACTTTCTTGCAATTCATGCAGGATTCGCGCTCTCGCGTGGGACGTTCCCGACACCCAGGAATCACGCGCTCGTTTTGGCTTTTCTCACGATTTTCTGTAAATCGCGCTATCGCTCGAGACCTCCTCGCGATTCATGCAGGACTCACGCTTCAGCAACCCGCCTGCTCGACCTGGCCGCCTGGGCCCGCCTTCCCGACCCGCCCGTGCGGGTCTGCCCGCCCGATCTGCCCGTCTGGTTCTGCCACGTGTTTTCTGTTCCTAGCCACCCTCTTGCTAATCTCCCTCGTGCTCTATCCTTTTCCCTTGCCCTTTTAGCCGTCCTCCCTTCCCCTGTTGTAGTGTTGCGCTAAATGCGCGCGTGGCAGGTAAGGGATCTATGCCCGCAAGGGGGTACGATGGAAGACGACGGGGGCGGGTACCGAGCGTTCGGGATATACCTGGTGAATGGCACGCGAGCTGATAGGAGCGAACGCTCTCAAATGACTGTTGTTGTGTTGTTGAACTCTCATTGCTGAAGAATGATTTTTGTTGACCCCCCCCTCCGGTGCACATTTTTGTTGTTGTTGTTGTTGTTTTTTCTATTGAAGTACCCCTCCCGGCGCTCGAACCCTGGTTTTTATCAGTGAGAGTCTCCCTCCCCAAACGCGGCGCTGTTGGCTGCGTCCCCACACGGAGTGGTGCGCCGAAGTGGGGGTGGAGCTGCATGCGGACCTTGCCCCTGGGGCCTTGGGCGGGGCGCCCTATGGGGCCACCGAAACGTGTGAGGGGTGCGCCGAAGTGGGGGTGGAACTGCATGCGGACCCTGTCACAGGGGCCTTCGGTGGGGCGCCCTATGGGGCCACGAAACGTGTGAGGAGTGTGTCGGAATAGCTGTGGAACTGCATGCGGACCCTGCCATTGGGACTTTCAGGCGAAACGCTTGTATTTGACAACTTGAAGGACCTGGGCACTCCAGGATGCCCAAGTGGTTCTGGGAGTGCGGTCGCGCCGTTATTTATTCGGGATCGTGGCCATGGGAGCGCGGGCGCTGCGTAATTTACAATGGATTCTGGTTTTGGAGACGCGGTCGCATTGTAAAGTACAGTGGGTCGGCTTTGGGGGGGACAGACACAGTGCAATTTACAGGGGACCTGGCCCTGGGAGCGCGGACGCAACGCAATCTACACGGGATGGTGTCCTTGGGGGAATGGGCGCAGCGTAATGTGCGAGGGATCGTGACCCTGGGAACGCGGGCGTCGTGCAATTTACAAGGATCGTGGTCCTGGGAGCGCGTACGCGACCCGATTCGCGATGGATCGTGGGAGAGCGCTAGCACAGTTATTTACCAGGGACTCTGGCCCTGGGAGCGCGGGCGCCGTGCAGGTTGCAATGATCGTGGTCCCGGGAGCGCGGACGCAACTCAATTTACGAGGGATCGCAGTCCTGGGAGAGTGAGCCCAGCGCAATTTACGAAGGAGCGCCGCCCTGGGAGCGCAAATCCAGCGTATTCTACGAGGGTTGTTGGCCCTCGAAGCGCGAACCCTGTGTGGTTTACGAGAAATCGCGGCCTCGGGAGCGCGATCGCGGTGTAACTTATGAGGATTCGCGCCCTCGGGTCCGTCGCCGAACTTTCGGGAGACGGCGGGGGGGGGCCGGAAAACGCCACCCGAATCCATATCCCAACCCAGAGAGGAGGAAGAAAAAGAGGAGGAGGAGGAGGAGGAGTAGGAGGAGAGGAGGAGAGAGGAGGGGGGACGATGTGTTCGAGGGTTCACCTGGCACTGCCACCCTCCGAGCCTGAGGAGGAAGGAGGGGAGGATGAGGACCAGAGGAAAGGCAAGAGGACTAGAAAGAGGGGAGCAGGAGGAGGAGGAGGAGGAGGAGGAGGAGGAGGGAGGAGGAGGATGGAGGAGGAGGAGGAGGAGTGAGCAGAGGGAGGAGGAGAGGAGGAGGATTGATGATGAGGGAAGCAGGAGGAGCAGGAGGAAGGAGGAGGAGGGATGAGGAGGAGGAGGAGGAGGAGGAGGAGGAGGAGGAGGACGAGGTACTGACGCTACAAATTCCGAGGATTAAATTCCGCTCAACGTCAAACAAGGAGGACGAGGCGGAGGAGTAGGACGGCCAGCAGGACGAGAAGGATGAGGACGACGAGCGACGAGCACGAGGACGAGGAGGACGGGCGAGGATGACGACGAGCCAGCCCGGCAGGTCCGGCTGAGAGTATGCAGCCAGAGGATGTCCGCCTCCCCGCCTTTCCGCGCCCGCCCTGGGGTTGCCGCGGCCCAGCGGGGGAAGGCTGGCGGGGGCAGGGTGTTGGTGAGGAGGACGATGGTCGAGGAGGAGGAGGAGGAGGAGGAGGAGGGGAGGAGGATGAGGACCAGTGTAAACCCAATATTCATCCACGATCTTGATTGAAATGCACCCTCCCTCCAAGATCTCTTTTCAAAGGCTTCTACAAGGGGGCATTTCCACGGAGGACTTTGTCCCTTTGGAGGACAAGTGTGTGAACATTTTGAAGCGTGCCAAAACACCATTCTCAGGACTTCAACGACACGAGGTAACCTGACGGTTATGTTTTGGTGATCTTCAATCGTGCCAGAATATTCTTGGGAATTCAACAGCGCGAATCAACGTAATTGATGCGCCCTGGCAAGCGCGAATCGCTCCCAAACGCCGTTTCTGGTACGTCAACCATGAGAATCAGTGGAACTCTTGCGCATGCTTGAAGCGAATGTGCGCGGCGCTAAGGCAAGAGCCACGTTTGGAAAACGACCCGCCCCAATCCGTGAAACGTTTGCCTTTTACCGAACAGCGAAGACTGATAGGTTTCTAGTAGGGTCAAAAGAGAGCATCATGACGCCCCAGGGGGGTCTGGGCGCGATCCGGGGGAGTGCCTGGGACTTTTTAGTCACCAGTTACACACTTCGTGGTCTTCGAGGTCCCAGAACTCCATTCCCGGGCCACATTCTGAATGCCCGGAGCCAACTGTAGGCCACTTCGTGGTCTTCGAGTTCCCAGAACTCCATTCCCGGGCCACATGTTGAATGCCCGGAGCCAACTGTAGGCCACTTCGTGGTCTTCGAGTTCCCATAACTCCATTCCTGGGCATGATTTTGAATGCCCGGAGCCAACTGTAGGCCACTTCGTGGTCTTCGAGTTCCCAGAGCTCCATTCCTGGGCATGATTTTGAATGCCCGGAGCCAACTGCAGGCCACTTCGTGTTCTTCGAGTTCCCAGAACTCCATTCCCGGGCACATTTTGAATGCTGAGGCAGGCTGAGGCTGAGGCTGAGGCTGATGCAGGCTGAGGCTGAGGCAGGCTGAGGCTGAGGCCGAGGCTGAAGGCAGACTGAGGCTGAGGCTGAAGCAGGCTGAGGCTGAGGCAGAGGCAGGCTGAGGCTGAGGCAGGCTGATGCTGAGGCAGGCTGAGGCTGAGGCTGAGGCTGATGCAGGATGAGGCTGAGGCAGCCTGAGGCTGAGGCCGAGGCTGAAGGCAGACTGAGGCTGAGGCTGAAGCAGGCTGAGGCTGAGGCTGAGGCAGGCTGAGGCTGAGGCTGAGGGAGGCTGGGGCAGGCTGATGCTGAGGCTGAGGCAGAGGCTGAGGCAGGCTGAGGCTGATGCAGGCTGAGGCTGAGGCCGAGGCTGAAGCTGAGGCTGAGGCTGAGCTGAAGGCAGGCTGAGGCTGAGGCGAGGCAGAAGAGCGGCTGAGGGGGGGGGGAGGGGGGACTGAGTGAGGCAGAGGCAGGCCTGATGCTGAGGCAGGCTGATGCTGCGGCCGAGGCAGGCTGAGGCTGAGGCAGGCTGAGGCTGAGCCCGAGGCTGAAGGCAGACTGAGGCTGAGGCTGAAGCAGACTGAGGCTGAGGCTGAGGCAGGCTGAGGCTGAGGCTGAGGCAGGCTGATGCTGAGGCAGGCTGAGGCTGAGGCTGAGGCTGATGCAGGCTGAGGCTGAGGCAGACACTGAAGGCTGAGGCCGAGGTGACGGCAGGACTGAGGCTGAGGCAGAGGCAGGCGAGGCTGAGAGGCGAGGCAGGCTGAGGCCGGGCGAGGCAGGCTGATGCTGAGGCAGGGCTGGGCTGAGGTTGAGGCTCCATGCAGGATGAGGCTTGAGGCAGGGGGCGGAGGTTGAGCGAAGGCTGAAGCAGGCTGAGGCTGAGGCTGAGGCAGGGATTGATGAGCAAGGCGAGGCATGAGGGCTGAGCTGATGCAGGCTGAGGCTGCGGCAGGCCGAGGCTGAGGCCGAGGCTGAAGGCAGACTGAGGCTGAGGCCGAAGCAGGCTGAGGCTGAGGCTGAGGCAGGCTGAGGTTGAGGCTGATGCAGGCTGAGGCTGAGGCTGAGGCTGATGCAGGCTGAGGCTGAGGCAGGCTGAGGCTGAGGCCGAGGCTGAAGGCAGACTGAGGCTGAGGCTGAAGCAGGATGAGGCTGAGGCTGAGGCAGGCTGAGGCTGAGGCTGAGGCAGGCTGATGCTGAGGCAGGCTGAGGCTGAGGCTGAGGCTGATGCAGGCTGAGGCTGAGGCAGGCTGAGGCTGAGGCCGAGGCTGAAGGCAGACTGAGGCTGAGGCTGAAGAAGGCTGAGGCTGAGGCTGAGGCTGAGGCAGGCTGATGCTGAGGCAGGCTGAGGCTGAGGCTGAGGCTGATGCAGGCTGAGGCTGAGGCAGGCTGAGGCTGAGGCCGAGGCTGAAGGCAGACTGAGGCTGAGGCTGAAGCAGGCTGAGGCTGAGGCTGAGGCAGGCTGAGGCTGAGGCAGGCTGAGGCTGAGGCTGAGGCAGGCCGAGGCTGAGGCTGTGACTGCGACTGCCGTTGCCACTGCGACTGCCATCGCGAATGCGACTACGACTGCGAGAACATCAGAATTCTACAACAGGATTCTCATCTGAATCTTAAGGGGAATGCTTCCAGATATGCTCCTACACATCGCTGTTAGGTTGCTTTGTCGGGATACTTTTAAAGGAATGTGCGCAGCGCTACAGCGAGAGCCACATCTTGGAAACGAGCCGCCCTCACTCCGTTTTTTTGTTTGGGTTTTTTTTTTGTTTTGTGTGTGTCTGTGTGTGTGTGTGTGTGTGTGTGTGTGTGTGTGTGTGTGTGTTTTCATTTTTTGTAATTAAGCAGTTTTTAGAACCAATGTGCGCGGCGCACAGGCGAACCACATTTTGAAAATGGCCCACGCATGTGCGCGGCGCTATGGCGAGAGCCACATTTTTCAAAACCACCCGCCCTGAATCCGTAAAACTCTTGCACATGTTTAAAACGAATGCGCGCGCGACAACCCGCCCTCAATCCGTGAAGCTCTTGCATTTTTTAATCCGACTGTGCGCGGCGTTATGACGAGAGCCACATTTTGAAAATGACCCGCCCTCAATCCGTGAAGCTTGTGCAGTTTTTCAAAAAGAACGCGCGCTGCGCTAAGGTCAGAGCCACATTTTGAAAACGGTCCGCCCTCCATGTGTCAAGCTGTGTTCATTTTCGAGCGTCAGGGTCATAAATGATAAGGAAGTCTCAGGCGAAACGCCCCGCCCGCTACAGGTGGAGAGCGGGCGGAACAGGGAAGCAAAACGAGGGATGGAGGAGTGAGGCTGGACAGGAGGAGCCAGGGAAGGAGGGGGGGAAGGTGCCTCTTCCTTTTTTACCATGGTCGTCATACATCCTCCTGCTCCGTGCCAGGATGCCGTTTGGTGCCTGCCTGGCAGGCCTGCCTGCCAGCGAGAAGCTCCTCGGCGAGGGGAAGGCCTGCCCCCGCCGCCGCCCGCCGCGCGGGCGCGGCCGGTCGTGGAGGGCGAAGAAGAGATGCAGAAAATGGCGGTGCGGGCGAGGCCGCGATCGCCAAACGTGTGTGTTTCTTGTGCTCGGGCGGGGCCGGCCGCGCCACGCGCTCGGGGAGCGTTCTCTGACCCCTGGGCCGCCCGCGCCGCCCTTGTTTTCCTTCGGCCGCGTCCTTGCTCCCTCATCCTCTTGCATTGCATGGCGGCACAATTCGCTCCAACGGCATCTCCGTGTAAGCCTCTCATCGCCAACGCAGTCACCTTCTGCTTCGCCGCCGACGCAAAAACAGTTTCTTGTGCTCGGGCCATTCCTTCTCTACTTGGGTACTGTGCCTCTTCCACTTCGTGCGCTGCAGTCCCTGCGTCAGCCCCTGGGTGTGGCCGTGACGCCGCCCCGTGCCCGCTGCCGGGGGTGCCGCACTGGCTGGCCGCCCCGGCCGCTCCACGGCGACGCACCTCGCCGTGTGAGTACCCTCCCCCCTTTCCTTCCTCCCCGCGGCCGCTTTCGCATGTCCTCCCCTTGTCCTGCCGCCAGCTAATTTGCGCCTTCCGTTGCCTGGGCCGCTTGAGAGCGCGTGCGGACTGCTTCTGCCGCGCTGCGGCGGGAAAGAAAGGTGTGTTCGTGGTGCTCTTAGTCGTGTGCCCCCGCCTGCTGCGAACGCCCGTGCGGATTGCCTTTGCCGTGCTGCGGCGGGAAGGTTCGTCGTGTTCTTTGCAGCTGCAGACGCCGCCCTGGTCGCTTTTGGAAGCTCTCGCCGCCACGGCCGGGCGCTGCGCCAAAAGCCGGCCCGAGACCCCTGTCGGAGAGCTGGGCCGCCCGCTGGGGCCACTGCTGCCCCAGACAGTCGGGGCGCGCGCGCCAAGACGGCGAGGTCTTCCTTCCCGCGCGGTAAAACTAGAGAGCCGCCACCGCGCCGATGTTTTTTGAATGCGCGTCCCACGCTCTTACAAGGGACACGCCCGCTGCTGCGACCTCGAAATGTTTGCAATGGGGCAACGCGGGTTGAAACCACTATGTCTGTTCGAACACCGCCGACGATGGTCGTGATGGTGGGAACAACGTTCTGTTCAGGACATCGGGCTGCAATGCAATGTTGACGGTGTTCGTGTGGTTAATCATGCCTCCGAGGGCGGTTCTGACGACGGATTGTGGTAGTGGTGATGATAGCGATTTTGTTGCTGGTGGCGATAACGATGGACTGTTTATCGATGATAATGATAATGGTGTGATGACGGTGACGAAGATAACGAATGGTCGGTGTCGCTTTCTGCCCACCGAGGACACGCCTGTGCCAGTTTTCTCGTGCTGCAGGGCTCTGGCCTCGAAAACCGTATTTCCCCCCCCCCCCCCCCCCCGTTTCTTTTTCTTCCCCAGCGTGCAGCGCACGCCGCCGACTCAATCGCCCCCCATATGGTTTACACTTCGCAAGGACTGGCCGATTCGGCGCGGTCGCGCATGGACGCCGGTGGCCCGTCGGAGGGAATCGTTCACAAGACGCCGTTGGCACACCTTTCGTGGCCCCAGAGGAAGTTCTACCGAAGGCTTCAAGGACAGCGCCCTCAAATCGCCACCGCCTCCATTTCGGCACGCCCCTCGTACGTTCTCGTGGCCCCATATTCCACAACGCCCGCATGGCGGCGCCGCCTCCTTTCCGACACACCCGCTACACATGACGTGGCTCCATAGCCAGAGAACTCCACCGAAGACCCCAATTGCAGTGCCAGCATGGCCGCGCCTCCTCCATCTCGGCCCACCCCTCACATGCTTCGTGGCCTCAGAAGGAGCTCTACTGAACGCCCCAGTGGCGAAGTCCGCATGGCGCCGCCTCTTCATATGGGCACTCTCCTCGCACGCTTCGTGGCCCCCATCCGCATTGCCCCAGGGTCCATTCCCTTCGCGGTTCGCTGTCTATGAAGAGACGGCCATATTTTGCGTCACACGCAGATGCATAAGGTTGAGTCCTTCATCAGGCTAGTCTGTTACACCCCTGCCGGTTTCTGCAGATCGTACCCGTCTTCGTGTAATGGGAACGCCGTTGCTGAGCTGTGGCGCTCCCAGTGCGCGAAGGCCGCCAGAGTATTACAACTCAGGGTGGTCACACTCACAGGATGAAACTCCCGCTTGGCGGAGGGAAGATGGCGAGGAGAGAGGGAGGAACACGAGCATGAGGACGAAGACCAGGATGAACATGAGGATGAGGTCGAGGAGGCTCCTATCCGAGAAGAGGGAGGAGAGAGGAGCGGGATTAGCAGGAGCAAGAAGAGGAGGAAGAGGAAGAGGATGAGGAGGCGGAATGATGACAGATGCACGGAGGTTGATGGCCAGAAGGATGAGAGTGACAGAGTAGGGGGGGAGGACGAGGAGGAGAAGCAGAAGGAGGGATGAGTTGCATGAAGAGGAGAAGCGTGAGGATTGGAGGACAGATGGAGGGACCATGGGAGCACGCCCTTCTGACTGGCTTCGGGGTGCGAGGGATGACTTATTACCCCAATCAGAGCTTGCCTCTGTAGGGGTCCTAGCGGATGAAAGGCTTAGGTGAGGTTGGTCGCCGATTTCGGTGGCCGGGCCCGGGTGCCCGGGTGCCCGGCGGTGCCCGGGTGCCCGGGTGGCCGGTGAGGTGCGTGGCCGATTTCGGTGGCCGGGTCCGGGTGCCCGGGTGCCCGGGTGCCCGGGGGTGCCCGGGGGTGCCCGGGGGTGCCCAATAGCCCAATAGCCCAGTAGCCTTACAGCCCTATAGCCCTATAGCCCTATAGCCGTATAGCCCTATAGCCCTATAGCCCTATAGCCTTATATCCCTATAGCCCTAATCGCCTTATATCCCTATAGCCTTATATCCCTGTAGCCCTAATAGCCCTATAGCCTTACATCCCTGTAGCCCTAATAGCCTTAAAACATCTGATTGGGGTTTTTCTCCGGTATCATTATAAGGAGGAGGAATAGAGGAGGAGAAGGAGGAGGATGAGGATGAGTAGGAGGATGAGTAGGAGGATGAGGAGGATGATGATGAGGAGGAGGAGAAAGAGGAGGAGGAGGAGAAGGAGGAGGAGGAGGACCAGTGCAAACCTAAGACTCATCAGCGATGTTGGAATCAAATCTTTGCTCTAAGCTCCCATTTCATACCACCCTACAAGGTCGTTCATTTCCATTGAGGGAAGTGCCCCGTTGGGAGACAACTGTTTGAAGATCCTGAAGCGTGCCAAAACACCATACTCGGGACTCGAACGCCACTAATCATCGACTCTTGCGTTTCGACGATCCTGAATCGTGCCAGAACACTGCGAATCAGTGCAACTGTTGCGCCATGGCAATCCGGAGTCGTTCCAAAACGCCATGTCTAGTTTTTTGACCATGGTTAGATGTCCCAATGACTCTCTTGCAACTGTTTGAATCGGACATGCGTGGCGCTAAGGCGAGAGTCACATTTTGAAAAGGAACCGCCCTCAATCCGTGAAGCTTTTTTGAACTTTTTGAAAACGACCGGCATTTTGAAAACGGCGCTACGGCACGAGCCACATTTTTGAAAACGACCCGCCCTCAATCCGCGAAACTCTTGCCTTTTTAGACACGACCAGTGTGGGCTGCGCTAAGGCGAGAGCCACATTTTGGAAGCGACCCGCCCTCCATATGGGAAGCTGTTGCCAATTTCTGAGCTTCAGGATCATTAATAATGAGGACGTCTCAGGTGACACGCCCAGCCCACCTTTCCGACTGGCCTTGGGGTGGAACAGGGAGGAGCCATTTGTAAGAAAAAGGAAAAGGAGTGGAGGAGGAGGAAGAGGAGGAGAAGGAGGAGGAGGAGGAGGAGAAGGAGGAGGTGGAGGAGGAGGAGCTGGAGGAAGAGGAGGAGGATGAGGAGGAGGAGGAGGAGGGAGGGAGGGAGGGATGGAAGGAGGCGGGCAGTGAGGAGGGGCCGATGTCGGGCCTATTCCTATCCGTCTTCGGTCCTCCTCCTCTCTCCCTTTTCTTGCTCTTCGTCCACCTCCCTAATACCTCCTCCTCCTCCTCCTCCTGCCTCCCTTTTCTCGCTCTTCGTCCACCTCCCTAATACCTCCTCCTCCTCCTAGCTCCTCCTACCTCCTCGCCCCTCGCCCCTCCTGCCCTCCCACCTCCCCCTCTCCTCGTGCCCCCTTTCCTCCGTCCCCTGCCTGGCCCACGGCCCTCCATCTTTCCCCTTTCCCCCTTGCCTCCCTACGCTCTCCCCCCTCTCCCCCCTCTCTCTCCAGCTCGCAGCCTCCAGTGCAGGGCCGATGAGGATTGATCCGCCGTCGCTCACGCTGGCAGACGGACCGGCGAGCAAAGATCAGGCGATTTGCCAATCGAAGTGCAGTCCAGTCCCCTCCCTCGCTCTCTCCCCTCCCTCCCTCCCTCCGCGAGCGACTGAGAATCCGCGGTCCTGATCATTACGCACTGAGGAGACCTCAGTGACCTCTTGAGCTCCTCTGGGGTCATGCTTTCAGGCCTTGGGAGGCCCCCCCCCCCCCCACATGCTAGTGTTCGCGCGCATGCTTTGGCGTTCGCAGCGCACCCCCGCCCCGACGTGCCCCACCGATCGTAGCGCACCCCCGCCCCGACGTGCCCCACCACGCCCAAGCGTTACGGTTACCCCGGGCCCCAGCCTTCCCCCCCCTCCTATCCCTCCTCCCTCCCCCCTCGCCACTGGGTGACGACCGCTGCCAAAAATTATACAGAAGACAATCCACAAACGAGCCTCCTTGACCTCCCTCCCTCCCTCCCTCCCTCCCTCCTCCCTCCCTCCCCTCTCTCCCTCCTCGCGGAGGACTTCGTGACGAGGAGTTCGTGACGTGCCCAGTCTGGATCTCTTCAGGCCTATGTGTCCATGATGCGTCTGGTCTTCTGCGCCGCTCCAGGGAGGTACTGCAGTAGGTACTCCGTGCCACGGCCAGTCCACGCGGCCCGTCCAGCTCGTGTCAACAATGCTCGAGGGGGAACACGCAACTCCCATCCTCCTCGCTTCGCGCTCCGCGCTCCCCCCTCCTCCCTCCCCTGCACCTCCTCCCCCTCCCCCTTTTGACGGCCGCGGCCCGCGCCTCCTCCCTCCCCTCCCTTCCTTCCCTCCTCCGCCCCCCTCCTCCCTCCCTCCCTCCCCCTCCTCCCTCCTCCCCTCCCTCCTCCCTCCCTCCCTCCCCCTCCTCCCTCCCTCCTCCCTCCTCCCTCCTCCCTCCTCCTCCCTCCTCCCTCCTCCCTCCTCCCCTCCCTCCTCCCTCCTCCCTCCTCCCCTCCTCCCTCCTCCTCCTCCTCCCCTCCTCCTCCTCCTCCTCCTCCTCCTCCTCCTCCTCCTCCTCCTCCTCCTCCTCCCTTCGGCGGCCGGGGCTCTCCCTCCTCTGGGCGCCACCTCCGCCGCAGCTGAAGCTGGTGCTGGGAGCCGCCTCGCCGGGCTGCCCCGCGGCCGCCAGCTCCTTCGGCAAGGCCCTCGCGCGCGGTCCGCTGGGGGCCCTGGCAGCCCCGCCCCCCCTCCTTCGAGGAGGAGGAGGAGGAGGAGGAGGAGGAGGAGGAGGAGGCGGAGGAGGAGGAGGAGGAGGAGGAGGAGGAGGAGGAGGAGGAGGAGGGGGGGAGGAGGAGGAGGAGGAGAGGAGGAGGAGGAGGAGGGAGGAGGAGGAGGGAGGAGGAGGAGGAGGAGGAGGAGGAGGAGGAAGAGGGGGCGGAGGGTCCCGAGCGGGGGCGGCGCCTCGGGCGGGTGGTCCCTTCCGTCCTCCTTCACTCCCCCTGCTTCGAGGGCTGCGCCACTCGCGCGTGGCAGGTAAGGAAGGTATCGCCCCCGAAAGGGGGCCCGAGCGACGACGGAGAGGGCGGGCAGCAGAGGTACAGTTTACACACCAGTGGCATAAAACGCGAGCAGACAAGAACGAGCATTCTTAATATCGTCGTCGTCATCGTCGTCCTCGTCGTCCTCGTTGCTGCTGCAGTCGTCGTCGTCGTCGTCCTAGTTGTCCTTGTCGTCGTCCTGGTTGTTGTTGTTGTTGCTGCTGTTGTTGCCGTCGTTGTTGTTGTTGTTGTTGTTGTTGTTGTTGTTGTTGTTGTTGTTGTTGTTGTTGTCCTTATTGTTGTTGTTGTTGCTGTTGTTGTCGTCGTCGTTGATGTTGTTGTTGTCGTTGTTGTTGTTTTTCTCGTTGTCGTTGTCGTTGTCGTTGTCGTTATCGTTGTTGTTGTCGTTGTCGTTGTCGTTATCGTTATCGTTGTCGTTGTCGTTATCGTGGCTGTTGCTGTTGTTGTTGTTGCTGTTGTTGTTGTTGCTGCTGTTGTTTTTGTTGTTGTTATTATTGTTATTGTTGTTGTTGTTGTTGTTGTTGCCGTTGTTGTCGTTGTCGTTGTTGTTGATGTTGTTGTTGTCGTCGTCGTCGTTGCTGTTGTTGTTGTTGTAGTAGTAGTAGTAGTAGTTGTAGTAGTTGTTATTGTTGTTGTTGTTGTTGTTGTTGTTGTTGTTGTTGTTGTTGTTGTTGTTGTTGTTGTTGTTGTTGTTGTTGTTGTTGTTGTTGTTGTTGTTGTTGTTGTTGTGCGCTCATTTCTGAATACTCGATGCTGCTGTCCCCACCGATCAGCCAATTCAGCCTGCCTCATTGCCACGTAAGTATTGATCCTAGAGAGGGAGGACGAGGCGGACGAGGAGAAGGAGGAGGAGGGAGGAAAGAGGAAGGCGAGGAGGACGACGAAGAGCAGGAGGGGCAGGAGAAGAAGGACCAGTCGTACAGGAGAAGGGGCTTCTACAGGATCGCCGACCACACTGCGAACTACACCATGGATGTCCAGCGCTCTTGGTGTCAGAAGTTGTGTACCTCCTGTGGACAGCAGGTCTGTGCAGAGGGCGAACTATGTCATACACACTGACGGGGAATTTCGTGCAAACAGATGTTTAGCAGCAGCACGGTACGTCGAAGCCTATGTGCAGCTACCGAGTGGGACAGTGCCGTATCCAATCGGCATGGCGGGACGAATTATCAGCACACCCATATTTTCCTTTACTGTGGTGGTCATCGCTCTGGAAGAAGCCGTGGGCTTGATATGGGAGCTTCTGAGAACGTGATCAACTGTGGGATGTATCGCAACCTCACAACGTCATTGACAGGCCAGTGCCATCGCACTTCATGCCTCTGGAAAGTCCCCCTTCCCCTCTGACCTCCCTCACCTCTCCACTCCTTCGTCGCCTTTTCCCTCTTTTCTTTCCCCCCCTCCTCCTTCCCTCTCCCTCGTCGTCTTCTCCTTACTCCTCGCTCTCCCTCCTCCTCCTCCTGCTCCTTCTCCCCCTCCTCCCCCTCCTCCCCCTCTTCCCCCTCCTCCTCCTCCTCCCCTTCCTCCTCCTCCTCCTCCTCCTCCTCCTCCTCCTCCTCCTCTCACTCCTCCTCCTGCTCCTCCTCCATTTCTTTTCCCGATACACTGTTCCTCCCTGTCGCACTCCGAGGCCGGTCGACAAGGCGGGCCGGGCGTTTCGCTTGAGACGTCCTCACCGCTTATGACACCGAAGCTTAGGCATTGGCAGAAGTTTCACGGACGGAAGGGCGGTCCGCTCTCCAAGATGTGGCTCTCGCCTTTGCGACGCTCAAGCGCTCGCTTGAGCAGTTGCAGGAGTTTCGCGGACTGAGGCCGGCCCGTTTTCAACGTGTGGCTCTCGCTTTGGCGCCGCGCGCACTCGTTGAGCAAATGCACGAGTTTCGCGGATGGAGGGCGGCCCGCTTTCGAAATGCGGTTCTGACTTCAGCGCTGCGCACATTCGTTTGAAAGTTTGCGTGCGTTTCACGGACAGAGGGCGGCCCGCTTTCAAAATGCGGCTCTCGCAGCAGCGCCGCGCACACTCGTCTTAAACAGGTGCAAGAGCTTCGCGGATGGGGGGCGGCTCCTTTTCAAAAATTGGCTCTCTTTTTAGCGCCGCGCACATTCGTCTTATGAGTTTTTCGGCAGGTTCGAGAAGTTTCATGGTCAACGTCCCAGAGGTGGTGTTTTGGTGCGATGTGGGAATGTTGAGGCGCAACCGTCACTTTGATTCGCGGTGTTGAAGTCCCAGGCATGGTGTTCTGGCACGGTTCATGATCGACAAGACGCTACAATATTGATGATTCGCGGCGTTGAAGTCCCGAGAACGGTGTTCTGGCACAGGTCTGGATTTTCGAACGGTTGCCTGCCAACGGGGCACGTTCCTTAGTGAAAATGAATCTTTGCAGGGGCCTGTGAAGAGGGCTTGGTGGGAGGGTTTCTCGCAATATCGATGGTGAATCTTGGGTTCCACTGGTCCTCCTCCTCCTCCTCCTCCTCCTCCTCTGTTCGGCACACCGGTGCCCAGGCGGGCCTGATCTGGCCCCTCCTCCCCTCGCGACCCCGGACCCCCCAGGCGCGCCTGCTCCTGAATCCACAGACGGCGCGCGCCGCCACCGCCGCCGCCGCCGCCCGCCACCTTCGCCCCCGCAGGGGTGGGGTGGGGTGGGGGCGGGGAGCCAGAGAGCAGCAGGGGGAGGAGGAGGAGGAGGAGGAGGAGGAGGAGGAGGAGGAGGAGGAGGAGGAGGAGGAGGACGTCGTCGTCGTCGTCGTCGTCGCGGAGGCGGCCAGAGACGTCGAAGACGAGGAGGGAGCAGGGGGAGGAGGGGATCTGAGCCCCCGCCGTTTCAGAGCTCTTTCTCCTGTGCCTCGCGCAGCACCTGTTGCGAGGCCGCGCGGTGTGACCCCGCAGTTGGGCGCGGACCTGGCGGCGACACCACGGGCGCTCGAGCTGAGAGAGTCTGTCGTGGAATTCTAAGCAGGTCACTTCAGCAGGGGGGGGGGCGGGGAGCACGGAGAAACATGGGGGAGACGGGATGGGGGGGAGATTGAGCCCTTCCCCCGCTGCTCTCTGCTCTTGAAGGATTGTGCGAAGAGCGGGGGCTCGGATTCAGATGAACTCGTTTGCGCTTTCCATTTTCCCCTCCGTATGAGACAGTGGTTGCACTATTTTACTAGGGGCGGTTGGGGAGGGGGAGGAAGGGAGGCAGGGAGGGAGAGGAGGTGGCGGAGGAGGTGGTGGAGGAGGAGGAGGAGGAATATGATAATGGTAGTGGTGGTGGTGGTGTTGGCGACGACGACGATCATGATGATGATATGATGATGATGATGCTGATGATGATGATGATTCTGGTGATGATGATAATGGTGATGATGATAATGTTGATGATGATATTGATGTTGATGCGGATGAAGATGCTGATGCTGATGATACTGAAGACTATGATAATGATGATGATGTTGTCGATGCTGATTTTGATGATGCTGATGCTGATCATGGTGATGGTAATGCGGACGCTGATGCGGAT